TGAAGGGCACACAGGTAATGGGGAAAAAATAAGAACCAAGATACATCATGTACAGGTACAAACACCCAATGATAAATGTAAACGAATTGTATACCTAAAATATACCAATAAAAGAACTTAGAAAGGAAAAAAAGATTTTTTTGTCTTGCTAATGTCTTTTATGAATTTAATTTGCAGGGCCTTAAATAACCTAAGAAGGTGGAGGACATGGTTTTCTCCTGACACTCAGCCTTTAAATACATTTCCAAAGTAGGTTTCAAGAATACAAAAGCCTTATTGAAAATGAAGCAGCATTTGACCCCTTTTCTCTCCAAATCCTGGACAGCGAGAAGGGTGAAAAACACTTGAATTGAAAGGAGTGCAAAGACAAGGTGTTGGAACCTGACACTGAACAAAATTCTGGAGTTAGGGAGCTTGAAAGATGGGCTTTCATGGAGAGGTAAAAAGAGAGCTTCTGAGTAGGCAGAGAGACATTCCAGAAAACAATGAGAGGCCTGGGCTAAGAGCCAGGAAAGCTGTTATCAATGCATCCTTCAAGGGCTGCTTGAGTCTAAACTTAGTGTACCCCAGATCTCAGCAATGGCATTAGTACCCATCTACTGGGCCCACCAGAAATCATCAATCATCTCTGACTTTCTCCCCTTCTATCTATATCCAACCCTCCTGTGGGGAGATTAGGGCATGGCAAAGCGGCCGGGCAAGTGGGTATGATCCACCAATCACAGAAATCCAGAACACATGTGCAGAAAAACTGTTCCAAGCCCTGTGCCTAGGATCAGTCAGAAAATGCTATCTTCAATTCTTTTGTGAGAAATCAAGCAGGCATTTGATAGCATGGCATAGATCTGACGTCAGCTTGGGGGATATAGATCTGACGTCACCATGAGTTTAATGGCTGCTGTGAGCCTTTTCACTGGCCCACTCTGCACTTTCCAGAGTGCACTTCTTTTCCTACCTTTAACTGCCCCACACTCACTCTGCGGAGCATATTTCTTTTTCTACCTTTAATAAATGTAAAACTTTGCTACCTTTTTGCTTGTTTTGACCAATTCTTTGTTCAGGACAAGAACCTAGAATCTCTAGAAGAACCCCACAGCACCCCAGAACTCTGCTGACACCACATGTGAATCTGAACCTATCACTTAAGTAGAAAACAGCTCACTTACTTAGTTCATGAGTTAAGGCAGCTAGCTAGAGGAAGGACCTGAGATAGAGTTGGGTAATCAGCTATACTGGATCAAGAGTTCCAAGGTTCCTCAGGCAATCTGGAAAGCAGTCTATTTCCTACTAAGCTCCTGAGTTTTGAAAAACATAAAATGCAAAATAACCAGTTTTTCTGTAAATCCTAGTTTCCTTTAAACCTTATGAACAGAAGAACTGGGTTCAAGAGACTGAGTTCCAATTGGTCATTTTAATTCAAAGTCACCTATGATAGGTGGCCATTGAACAACTGAGGAATTCTTATGCTCTGCTTATCCAATAGTAGCTCTAGATCGAGGGGACAAGTGGCTGTCCATTCATCCTCCCTGAAAATTCAAGAGCTAGTCTTATTATTTCCAATAAAAGCTCTCCTAACCTCGTTTGGTATGTGACTTTAAGGGAGCATCATTAACACTAAGACCTCCCTTTTTACTTGGTAAATTGTTCCAATTCTCCCACTTGTTGCCCTCTCCTTGCTCCTATTGTTATTGGCCACTTAGGTTCATAAGCTCAATACTAGCTCTGAGGAGATGGAGGGGCCTATTTGCCTCAAATCACCATCTATCTGATTGTGTATCTCGGGCAAGGGTCTTTTATAGTAAGGAATAGAGGAGAGGGGAAGCACAGAGAAATAATGCAAATCTCCACACTTGCTTTATCACTTTTAGCAATCTTCAGCTCAGTCTTTTTTCTAGTGGAAAGGAAACTGTACTTGTCATCTTCCGCAGGTTCTGTTCATTCACCTGGACTGAGGAAAGATGGGGGAAGCTGTTAATTGCGCAGGCCCCAGGAAGCCACTTGTCTCTAAAGAAAAAAAAAAAAACCAAAACAGCAAACAACTTTAAAAGTTGTGCTTTGCAGTGCCAGTTACACTATCCCAATTAACTTGAATTACAACCAACACCACACACTACCTACCACTTGAAGATTCGAATTGGTCCAATGCTGGCCATGTGTGATCTATGTCAGATCCCTTCTCACTCTATGAGCTTTAAGATTAGGATTTTTAATACAGTCAGGAAGGTTCTGCTTAGTCTGACCTCCAGCTTCATACTGAAGCACTCTCCCTGAAACCTATTCTTCAGTCACAATGGTCTCCTTTCAGTTTCTTAGGCTTGCAATGTTCTCTCCTCCCGAAAGACCTTTATACACATTTATTCCGTTTCCTTTCTCCACTCAGTTTCTCATTCTTCAGCTATCTATTTGTATGTGACTCCTTCTAAGCTCTCTGAAAGATCAATGAATGCCCCTCCTCTATGATGCACAGTACCTAAATAAATTAAACAAATTAGGGGATCATTAGGCTTATTAGGGGATAACTCAATATTTGGGCTCTGCTAAAGCAGTACCTTTTATTGGTTTTCTTTCCCTGGCTGTTGTCTTACTTTCTAACACCTTGAATGTTAGCCTTCATCACAGCACTTTTTTTGGGCGGGGGGGTTCTCCCACTCATGGCAGATGCTTTCTAGGACAGTTGTTTTACAAAAAAACCACTCGGTCTTCTTAGCATTGAACACAGTCCTTGTCCATAGATGTTTGGAATCACTTCTTATGTTTTTCCCTCAGTATTTATTTGCTTGACAAAGTCTGTGTGTGTGTGTGTGTGTGTGTGTGTGTGTGTGTGTTGCTGGGGATAAAACCCAGGGCCTTGTGCATGTTAGGTTAAGTGCTCTATATCTGAGCTACAATCCCAGCCCAAACTCTTACCACTTGATATAAAGGAGGCAGTGGTAAAGTGTAACAATGTACATACTCTTTCTATTTTTTGGTTTCCTCATTTGAAAGGTAAAGCCTAGGTTGTTGGGAAGATTAAGAGAGCTGATGTTTCTCTCCCACCACTGGCCAGGTTAAATCTTTGTGCAGGCTCAGTTTTTGTAGTCTCTTGTGTCTAGTTAGCTCTTTTTATCCCCATCCTGTTTTTAACCCCTTTTACAATAGAGCTTAATTGCTCAATCAAAACCAGAGAACAAAACATTAGCAAGTGTAAAAACCATTAATTTTTTTCTCTTAGGAAAGATCTTTCAAAGATGCATCTGTATAGCTGCAGAAGACTTTTAACACTTTGAAAGTGCAAAAGATGAAAAACAAAATTGTTAAATTTCCACATCAAAACTGTTGAAATATTTCTTACCACTTTTTTTCTACATTTGCAAAATGACTGACCCACACTACACACTAAATTTTATTTCTCTTTCCTTCATCCGTTCAAGTTTACAGAACCCTAACTAAACATTTCAGGATCTAGGGCAAGTCACTTCACTGAATCACCTGGAAGCTTCCACATAATAAATTATTATGAACTGGATGTGTTTAGTTTCTTTCTTTACCTGTTTGTGTTGTCAAAGTTTAAACATATTAAAACTATTATGCTCTTTGAAAACCATAGAAACTTTTAATATTATGCATATGTAACTAAAATAGAAAAAAAAAAGAAAATATTTGCACACGACGTAAAACATCACAGGGGTTAAAATATGATGAAAATGTTCGCTAAAATTTCTCCACCCTTCTCTGTGTGACTGTGTGAACATTCCTTGCATTTCTGTCATTCAAGTATCAATATAGCCCGTGGGCGCATGTATTACGGGTTTTGGAGACTGGTCTTGAGTTTTAAGAAAGAAACAGCTTTTGTTGTTACCCGTAGTTTGAAATTCCCATACCTCACAAGTGGTTAAGTGTCATCAAATGACCCTTTTTGACGTCCAGTGGTGACAGAAGCCTCGAGTACTCCTGGGTTCTAGGCTGCATTTTTCTACTGGGACCTTTGGGAAACTGGCCTCTTCTAAACTGTGGGATGTGAACTTGCTCTACTGTTGGCTGATGACAGGTGAATGGCGACTCTTCACGTCAGATCCCTCCAGTCTTACCCTTCACTGGCCTTTGTTTTCCCCACCTTTCTCCTCTCTCCGCGGAGGTCTGGGACCACTAGGGCCAGTGTCTGTGTTTTCTTTCTCCAGCGAGACTTGGCAGAACAGGGTTTAAAAGAAAAAGAAGCAGGGCCGGGCATTTAGCTCAGTAGTTTCGCCGCCTGCTGCGCAAGCGCAAGGACCTGAGTTCAATCCCCTGTACCAAAAAAAAAAAAAAAAAGAAAGAAAAAAGAAAATGAAGCAAAGGAAGAAAGGAAGACTAAGAAACAGCTGTATTGGGAGGAGTCGCAGTAATGGCAGAACACCTTGGGACGCGACAAGGACCACCCTCCGCGGTGTGCGGAGAGCACAGGGCCAGGAGTCCGCAGGCCAAGCGCGGGGATCCCTTGCCCCCAACGGCCAACGCAGTTTGGGTCACGTGACGGGGAGCGGCGCGCGCCCATTGTGTCGCCGATTGGTTGGCGGGCAGAGCGCGGGGTTTTATGGGAAGGAGTTGGCCGGGCCCAGCATTCTGTGGCGGCTGCTGGCTGCATCTGAGGCGGGTTGAAGTGGCGGCCGAGGCCGTCAGGGGTGGACGCCGGGGCCGGGCTACGCCCGGTTCACACAGGTAAAATACTTAAGATGAAAGCAGTTGGGAGGGCTCATCAGAGAGGAGGCGCGCTGGGCTTTCCTCCGGGGAAATACGTATAATCTCCCGGTTCCCCACTGTCTCTCGCTGTTGCCCCGGCCCCATGCCTAGTGGCCTAAGAGTTCGGCGGCAGCAGCGAGGCCAGTTAGGCACCCTTTGAGGTAGGCGCTGATCTAGGGGCGCCGCCTCGTCCCCTTGATTTCCCAGCACAGTGGCAGTGGTGGGTCTGGAGGGCTCGAGACTCTGTTCTGCCCCGCGAGGGCTGGTGGTTTCCTCAGTTCTGCACTCGGAGATTCCTGGTAGTGACCAGCTTGAGCCTGGCTTCTGGCCCATCTGTGCTGAGAAGAGCCAGAAGGTCCCAAACTAGCATATCCCACGCTAAACTATCCTCTCTGAGTGGCCCAATACATCTCCTGTTTCTGGGAATTGTGCGGAGGCTCCTTGAGTTGGAAAGATCGGAAGGGATTGAAACTGTCAGTGTCATGCTGCTCGGCTCGCTTGTGGGCGTGGATTACACGCACTGAGTGAAGCAGCTCCACACCATTGTCCTTATTGATTTTGAGAGAACGGTGGCCGGCGTGAGGGGTGGAGGGGAAGTGCGAAGATGCGTAGGTGTAATAGGCGCGGAAGAAGAAGAGCAAATCTAAGTCATCAGTGGGTTTTATTCTGTAATACTGTTTACGGATAGGGAGAGAGAGGTGGGAATGGTGAACTCCGTTTTGCTGATGGTATTCTCACAGTACTAACCAAGACCTTCGACTCGCTGAGTTTTCCATATTCTGCTTCTTAGCTTCTGGTTTGTGGTGCTTCGCGTCTGCTATTTTCTCCTTAGTCTGTGGCCTGGATTGCACCCTTGACAAATGTGATTCTATTCAACAGCACTGTGGTGGATGTGAGGAAGCTTAGTTTCAGGCATATGTTCAAGTTGGCAGGGAATGCTAATCCCTTGTCCTCAGCAGCTCCCATGGTGCTTTTTTAGGAGAACTAAGTTGATTTTAATACATTTTCTTAAAGAAGAGTGTTGCTTTTAAACTTAGAATTTTAGGATTTTCTGTCATTTGTTGAGATCAGTTTAATAATGATGTTAATAAATTTATACAGTGTATTAACTTGAAAGAATATAAGAAAAGGAGGATATATGTCTGTCAAAAAGGTATGATTTCATATAAAAATTCTTCTAATTCTTCTAATCAGTTAGTTATTTTTTGGGTATTATTTCAGAGTACAACTTTACTTACCATGAAAGCAAACATTTTATCACCATATATTAAAAGTGCTTACTTTTCATCCATTTTATTTTTGCAATAAATGTGGTACTTTGGGATATTTCAAAATTGCCTTTTCATTTAGGATATTTAATAGTTAGAATTTTAGAACAAATCACTTTTAATCTTAAATTGTGTAGTACAATGTTATGGAAATGCCCTTGAGGGTGACTAAACAGTTTAAGTTTGGAACTTGATACACATAAAACTACACTTCCCTTGCTATTTTCTCCATAGGCCTACTGGTTATTTGAGTGAAGTATATGCAGAATGTCTTGGTTTATTTTCACACTGGAATAACTGAGGGCAATATACTTTTAGCAAAAATACAAACTAATTTTATTTTTCAATTTTTAAATTATGAAGTAAGTGCTTTCTTTACAAGAAGTTAGAAAGAAAGGTTCCATTTAACTGCCACATGTGTTTTCTGTAATAGAAATAATGGCTACAATTAAGTGCTGACTGTGTGTTGGATGCTGTGCCAAGTGATAATTTCAGTTAATCCATAGAACTGTTCTATGAAGTGTAGTTATTTTCATCATTTTACAAACTGAGGCTTAGAGAATTTAATTTGCCCAAGATCACATACTAGCTAATACATGGTTGGGTCATATTTTGAATTCAGATATATTTTACTCTGTTGTTTTAATGTAATTTAAAGTCAGCTGAAAAGAAAATTTCTTAGGATTTAAATTCTGACACCCAGACCTGAGTGTGATAGCAGTTTAAAAACATTCAAACAATATGGTGTTAGGGTTATGTCAGATCCCATTGTGATATCAGATTGGGAAGAGATACGTGCATATTTATGGAAGATTCTTGGGAACAAGCCACATGAGGTTGAGCCATTTGTCTACTCAAGGGCAAGCAAAATGATACATGCTTCAAAAGGAAATGTCAGGATCATTTGGTCCCCACTATTTTCTAAGTACAATATTTGAAAGAAAGCAGAGATAGACTAGAAAATAGTAATGACCACAGCATTAAAAACAGTGTATTGAGCCCGGGATTTAGCTCAGTGTTTCCAGAGCCTGCCTTGCAACCACAAGGTCCTGAGTTCAATCCCTGGTACCAACAAAACAAAACAAAACAGTGTATTGAGTAATTGTTGTGTATTAGGCACTATGATTGTTTAGAAAATACTGTTATTTAAGCTTTTCAACATTTAAAAGGATTCTTCTTTTGCAGATGAGGAAGTTGAGTAAGAAGGAGGTTAAGTAATTTATTTCCCCGTAGTTTCATAGTAAGTGATGGGCTACTAGAATTGGAGTAAAGATGTTTGAATGGAAAGGAGAGACCAGTGGTTGGAAATAGAAATGTGAAATTAAAGCTTATTTAATTATATTTTAGTATGCTTTCATGTCTGTTGAAAAGTACCACCACATGTACATTATAGTAAATTAGCTTCTTTAGCAAATATCAGAATTTGATAGAAAAATTGTAGAAACAATGAAGGTTGACAATTTCTTTGATTATGAATATGAAAGCATGGATGTGGCTTTTGATTAGTATCATCCTAATGTTTTAGAGGACAAATTTAAAAACGTAATTCCCTGCTTCAGGAATCTTGGAGACTAAAGCCATAGTTTGTTTTATTTACACCAAAACAATTTTCTAAGCAAATAATTGCAGTCAGAATTGTTATTGTGATATGCATATATATATATATCAATTACACTAATTTAAAAAGTGATATACAGTAAAATAAAAGCTGTACTTTCACAGTTCTGTTTCTAACTAGAGCCATATGACTTTGGTGAATCATTTAGCTTCTCTTTAATGTAGATTTAAGCATTCAGATTTAATCAAATAAAAGAATTGGGCTACATGCTACATTCATTGTACTGTCTTGTGTTTGTAACTCACTTTCCACTTCTGTAGTTCTGTTTACCACTATTTGAGAATATTAGAGGAGCTTTCATATATTTTATATATAAATATTCCAGTCTAATCTATATAAAGCAGCCTTCCTTTCTTTTGTGCTGTTGGGACTAACTGGTTGCTTTTCTAAAAAATCAAAAGTAAAATGCTATGGTTGGCCTTTCTACTTATTGTCTTTGGGGCATTAGCTTATTACTTCACTTTAGCTTCAAGTTCTTCAGTAAGGAGATAGGTCTTTTTCAAATGAGAAAAGGATCAGGAAATGGAGAGAGTGGGGAGGGAGGGAAGGGAAAAGGGCTGAAAAAGGGTGTTAAGATGTGTTATGTATATGTACCAACTATTCATAAGAAATGTAAATATTACATCCTGCAAACATGTACTAATAGAAAAGAAAAAGGGAGGAAAGAGTTATTTAGGCTCAATTTCATTTCATGGTTGACTAGTTCCATTGTTGTGGGCCTAAGATGAGACAGGCCATGGTAGAAGAGCCTGGTGGAGCAAAGCTGGAAAATCTGAAGTCCTGAAGCAGAGAGCAAGTGAGAGAGCCAGAGAGGAAGGGGCCAGGGATAAGATATAGTTCTCTAGCCCATGCCCCCTTGACTCCTTCCCTTCAACTAGGTCCTGCTTTGTAAGTTTCCCTCCCCCCCCAATAATATCATCAAATGATCTCATCAGTGGTTTAATCTACTGATGAAGTTAGAGCCCTTATGATCTGGTTATCTTCTTGAAAGCCCCACTTCTGAACATATGAGACTTTCGGAGGATGAGACTTTTGGGGGGCACTTTATTTCTAAATCATAACACAGGATGTGACAGCTATAAACTTTATTAGAGGAGTGTAATTCTCTTACAAACCAAAATATGTAGGTCAGTTTTAATAGAGGGATGATGTATACTTTGGGAATATCAAGATAAGTGGTTCATCTGAGTCTTTCCCTTTCCATCTTTCTTGTCGATTATTTTTAGCATCATAAGAAGGTTTTGAGATTTATTTAATGTCTTGGCTCAGATAGGAATTTCTACTTTTGTTCACTCAGTTTCCAGGATTTTTCCCAACCACATTTTAAAAATTTGAATACTGAAGTAATATTAAAGGATTAATACTATTTACCTTGCAACTTAAATTAATGCTATTTAGTTTCATTCACGTTCCAGAATTTTTCACAACTGTATTTTACAAATTTGAATACTGAGCTAATATTGAAGGATTAATACTATTTAACTTGCAACCTAAAGTTTTGTAATACTTACTGTATTTTCAAACTTGAGTTTTTCAGGATGAATTTATAGGTATTTTGGTCCTTAAAGATCACTTTGTAAGTCAAAGTATTTGTAATTAGACTCTTTGTTACTTTTCTAACTAAGACTTTTTTTTGGTACCTGGGATCGAACTCAGGTCCTTGTGCTTGCGCAGCAGGCGGCGAAACCACTGAGCTAATCCCCGGCCCACTAAGACATTCTCAGTAGATATATCTTATGGCAATTCCAGTGTATGAATACTGTTGCAGTTCTTACTTGGCACAGATATTGTTTTCTGATTATTTTTATGGTTAAAAATGTGAGAAAAACATCCTTAATAACTGCATTTGATTAAATGAAGTAATTTCACATGTTTGCAAGTACATACTTGATACTAGGTAAAATATGTTAGTTTTAAAGTGTACTTTTACCATTTCAACTAAAAAATAAAAATTTATGTAATTACCAAGTGGCAAATTGATCTTGAATATAATATTGCTGAGTTTATATTATAAATAATTTGAGTCATGGGAAAACAGTTAAAAGAAGTGGATATACAGCTATCTGAAATGGTCAGCTAGCTTGAAGAACATAGACAAAATTTAGAAAAAAATGTTTCTTTGGGATGTAGAACAGTAGTATTTACTAATAGGGCCAGACCTTCAGAGGAAGAGGGGGTTAAGGCCATCTTTCTTTTGTGCTACTGGGCCAGTCACTAAACCTCTTTACTTAGTATTTTTTTTTTTTTAATCTGGAAGGTTAATGCTAAATGCTATCTTGTGAGAAAGTGTTGCTGTTATTAAGTCAAATTTTACAGAAAAAAATTAAGGCTCAACATCATTAAATGATTTGTTCAAGGTTACAGGCAGCCTTGTAACCCTTATTTTCTTATTCAGAATCTAATTGTTTTCCTATGATTGTTCGTAAAGTGATGCTATTCTGAATATTGTAAAACACCCCTAATTTCAAAAAACTAGTTTAGTTAGGAATTAGTGAATAATAGAAATGGTTTTATTTAGGTATGTAGAATGAAAGTAATATAATAACATTTTTGTTTTAAAGAATGCAGGGAACATACTTTAAGAACAGAAACCAAGTCATTTGACTATAGACTTCTAAAATGCATTGCCATTTAAAAAGCCTTTCTAGGTGTATTTTTACCTTTAAATATGTCCTCTGTTTGAAGAAAAGATTTTAAAAAGGTGGATTTGATCCCAATGACTCTTTGAATTCAAATTATGTAAATGAAGGTCAAATAAATTAATATTTTAAAGTATTTTTAGATAGTATTGCAACATCTAACTTTTATAGTAGACATGCTGTGTATTTAACTTAAAATTTAAAAAAATGTTTGCTTTATTTCTAGTGTGACTTCCTTTGGACAAGTGATGACATTTATCATTGTGCCACGTTTCTACAAATAAAAGATGGGTGGATTATTTTCTCGATGGAGAGTAAGTTTTTCTTTACTGCTAGTTCATAAAGTGTTCATAAAGCTATTTGTAAAAGTCCCTTTTGTGGTGTAGCCTTCAATTATAGCTTGATATTATCTATTTACTTTCTTCTGACTTTTTTTCACTGTTTTGTTCTGAATTACTTTTTTTTTAAAAAAAAGTAAAAAAAAAGGGATTGAACTCCTCTGGACCTTGTGCTTGCAAGGCAGGCGGTGGAACCACTGAGCTAAATCCCCAGCCCCTGAACTACTTTTTAAAATTTGGACTTTATCTTAGTAGTTCTGTAAGTGCTTAATGTCTCTTTAAAAGAATTGTTTCACTTTGACTTAGGAATTATTTTTGTTCCTGTATTTCTGTATTTGCATGTAAAAGTGGTTATTTTTCTTATTTTCTTATAACTGCCTAAATTTTGAACTTACTGTAAAGGTGGTTGAAATTAAGTATTTTATATCATCCTTAACATTTTTTACATACTATGTTTGTTTTTTTGTTTTTTTTTTACCTACTATGTTTTTACTTAAAACTTGTCACAAATATTTTCTGAAAGCACACTAAATGTGCTTTTAAGAATTGAGATTAAACAAAATTAGAAATGTTGTTTGATTTTATTGAATAAGCCTTAGAAGATGAATCTCAAATTTAGAGCTAGAAAATACAAATTATCTGATAAATGCTCTGTAACATTAGAGGAGATAATGTGGTCTAGGATAGATTATGTATTTTTTGATTTATTACAATAGTAACGGAGCCTAGCAATACTTGCTACATAATTTAGTTTTTGACTATTGTTGGGACAATATATGTTTTGACCCTCCCTTTTCTTTCTTTTTAAAATTGACAGATAAAATAATATGCATTTATCATGTACAACGTGGTGCTTTGAGGTGTAAACATACTGTGGAATGATTAAATCTAGCTAATATATACTTTACCTCATATGGTTATCATCTTTGTGGTGAGAATACATGATGTGTACACTTAGTATTTTTCAAGAATACAATAGCTCATCATTAGCTATAGTCATCATGTTGTGTACTAGTCTCTTGAACTTATTCTTTTGTCATTTTGTACTCTTTGATCTCCAACCCAACTCCTCATCAGTGTCCTCCCCCAGGTTCCCTAGATTCTACTCTCTATTTCTATAAAATCAACTCTATTGATTCCATGTAAATGAGATGACCCCCTTCTTTGAAATCTATGGCAGTTCTGCCTGAGGATCATATTTATTTCTTCTTCCTTTGTCTTATTAGATAGAACCATATGAAATTGCCAATATACTGCTTTGACTTATAAAATGGCAATTTCATATGGTTCATCTTAATTTTAAAAGGTTTTTTAGGGAACTATAATCAACGGATATTTGTTACTCTTTTGGATTGTTGAGATGGTAAATATTTTCTTGGGCATTTGGTTTATATGCTACATGGTATAAAATCTTTGGCAAATAAACTCTGCCATAATGACGTATTATACATACTTTAGGAATTCACAGGGAAAGTAACCTATTGATTTTGACTTCCCAAGCCCCAAATGAACTTTAGCAGTAGTGTTTCAGACCATTTTAGTTTGTGGATTTTTAAAGTATGTGAATTATTTATTTGTTTTTTGTGGTGCTGGGAATGGAACCAGAGCCTCGTGAAGGCTAGTCAAGCACTCTGCCACTGAGTCACATCCCCAGACCATTAACTGTTTTGAGAAATCATTACCTAAGAAAATTTTTGTTGGAGGAAAGTTTGTTTCTCTATATAATAAATAGTGTGTTCTGTTGAGGTTAAGAATAATAGAATTTGAGCTATCAGAGTTGAAATTTCTTCTAGGACTAAAAAGAAATAGAAGAAGTCTAAAAATCTTACATAGTTTTGTTTGTATTTTTTCAGTTAAATAAATCTTAGTTATGAATAAATGAGAATACATATAGGTTGACAACATTTAAAAAAAAATTAATTCTGAATTAGGATTTTTCTTTTGATTATAGTGTTCTAAGTTTGCAATCATTTTTAATACCATTTCTAATTTCTGTTTCTGTAACAGACAAAACCTTCAACTGTAGAAGTTCTAGAAAGTATAGACAAGGTATGTTCTTCGGCTTGGAGGTATTTTAATTCATTTTAGGTATTAAGTAAATATTATTTTAGTATACAGTATATTATATTGGAGGCCAGAACTGCTATGGGAATTTAGAGATGATACAGAATAAGCCTGTGAACTTTGTTACATGATCTCAAGAAAAAAATCTGAAGTCTGTCAGTGGTTTAATAAGTCCTGTATCAAGTAACAGAACCTGGTAGAATGAAATTGTATCTGTAGCTTGGGGTAAATCAATGTTACAGATAAGTTAAAATAGATTATAATATAATTGGCAGCAATTTTTATCAGCCTGAAAAATATTTATAGCTTTGTATATTTTCTTTCATTATGCAAATGGTTATTCCCTGGGAATACGGGGAGTAGTGAGTAGATGAAAGAATTTAGTATGGGATAGTGTTTTAATTTTTATTAATTCTTTTTTTTGCTAGATTTTGAAAGGCCTCATGTATAGAGAATCATTTACTTGTTTGACTCAACAAATATTGATGCCAGTTCTATTCCTTTAGTCTTTGCCAGTTTGATAGATTAAAAATAGTATTTAAATTTTCACTTTAGGCCGGGGATTTAGCTCAGTGGTTTCGCCACCTGCTGTGCAAGTGCAAGGACCAGAGTTCGATCCCCGGTACCAAAAAAAAAATTTTGTTTCACTTTAAAAGTGATTTGTCAGAATATTATAAATTTTGTAACATCATTGTTAGTTTTACATATTAAGTTTTATTTTAAAGTATTAGAGTATTTTATCTCATTGAATTTTAAGAATTCTTTCTAAATAGCCTTTTTATCATGTTAAAAATTTCTAACATTTTGATTTTTTTAATGAACTTTGAAATTTAGTAATGTGGAGTAATTTTCTCTTAACAGGAAATTCAAGCATTGGAAGAATTTAGGGAAAAAAATCAGCGATTACAAAAATTATGGGTTGGAAGATTAATTCTTTATTCCTCAGTACTCTACTTGCTTACATGCTTAATTGTGTACTTGTGGTATCTTCCTGATGAATTTATTGCAAGACTTGCGATGACACTCCCCTTTTTTGCTTTTCTACTGATGTAAGTACATTGTTCTTTTTGTTATTTTTCCTTTTTCTGACCAGATAGTTTTAACATATTCAATCTCTTTTTAGTAGGAAATAGTAATGTCTCAGATTGAATAAATTTGGGTTATTTTTGCATTTTGAAATAGAAAATTGTATTAAAGCTTTATTTATAATCCAACATACTGGGTCTCTGCTTAGACTCTCACAAGCTGAAGTCAAAGTATCAGCTGATCTGGGGTCTTAACCTAGAATCTCTAGGGGTAGAATCTGCTTCCAGCTCCAGGCAGGTTGTTGGCCAACTTATTCTTCATCTTTCTATTTTGCCCTTAGCTGGAAGAAAGCTTTGCTGTTAAGAGCTCAAGTGATTATATTAGACCCACCGGGATAATCCAGGATAATCTCCCTATCTTAACATCAACTAAGTAATAACTTTAATTATATCTGAAATAATTCTTTATAGCAGTATCTACATTACTATGTGATTATATAACCAAACGATGGAAATCTTTGGGAAGGAAGAAAGATATTGTTAGAATTTTCCTTACTACAGACCTTCAGAGGAACTGATATTTGAGTGTTAGATCTGAAGGATAAGTATGTGTGACTAAGGTGGTGTGACTTGGTGGACAGAGCGTTGTAGGCCGAAGAGACAATGTACTTAACCACCCTAAGGTAAGCAGTGATGGCATACCTTTTAGAGCTTTTGGTGATAAAAACAGCTGGCTGTGGGATGCGTGCCATAGGTTCACCACTGGGCTAAAGCAAGGTAGGTTTACAGACATGAAAGAAAAAAATTCTCTGGATTCTAGAGAAAAGGTAGGTAGTTAGCCAGATATATATATATATATTTTTGGTACCGGGGATGGAACTTGGGTCCTTTCACTTGTGCAGCAGGTGGTGAAACCACTGAGCTAAATCCCCAGCCCAGCCAGATATTTCATATGGGCCCTGTGGTTCATGAGGGCATTAGGCTTTGTTTTAAGATCAATGGGAATGATATTGTAGCCACTGAGGGTACAGCATGAAGGATAAATTAGAGGGGAAGAGTGGGGAGTTAAAAGGTTATTGTTGGGGCAGGGAAGTGGCTCAGTGGTGCAATGCCTGCCTGGCAAGTGCAAGGTCCTGAGTTTGATCCTGGTACCGAAAAAAAAAACCAAAAAAGGTTTTTGTAGTTGATGGAGAAAAATGATGATGATTTGTACTTAAGTGGTGAGACTGAAGAAGGGAGATGGATTGAATGAAACAGATGGATTAAAGAGATTTAGAAGATAGAATTGAGGTAATATGGAGACTTGGTGGTTGATTGGATATGGCATGAGATAGAAGAATCACATCAAGTATAAAACTCAAGTCTATGGCTTGGGAAATTTGGTTGATGGTAATGTCCTTCATGTACTTAGGGAACAACGTGAGAAGAAGCAGGTTTGGTGACCCCACTGAGACTAAAATACCTATGTATTTTCGAGACAGCTGTCAAGTGAGTGGTTAAGTATGAGTTTGAAGCTTAGCAGAGAAATTTGGATGGGAGATATAAATTTAATATTTGGAAGCTTATAGATGTTAATTGAAGCTATCATTTCTTAATTCATTAAATATGAGGCATTTACAATGTGTTAGGTATTGATTAGGCCCTAGTGATGGAGAAAGTAGTAATAAAGAGTTTTGCTCTCATGGAGCTTACATTCTACTGAAGTTGGAAAGACAAAAAAATAGCAACAAGAAACAGTGATTTAGAAAGAGATAAATGTGATGAAGAAAATAAAGTGATTTGAAAGAAATAGGCTATTTTAGGATAGTTCTGGAAGATCTCTTGAGCAAGTAGTATTTGAATTGAGAACTAAAGGATGAGGAAGAACCAGTGTGCAAAAGTTGGAATTTATGAAGATTATAAGTCCAGGAGTTGAGGGAAGATCTTTCCAAGAACAGAGATAAGAAAATGCAAAGTCTATTACCTGAAGAGAATGTGACTAATTTGTTGGGCAAAAAAGAGACACATATTTGGAATATGTGATGGAGAGGAAAAGTAATATGAAGTAAACTTGGAGAGTCAGTCAGGGCCTAGATTGTGGAGGGTCAGGGCTAGTGTTTTGAATTTCATTTTAGGTGAAATGAGAAGCTGGTACAGTGGAAGAAGAAATTTGATGAAATTTAATTTAAGAGGCACATGCATGCTGCCATGTGGAGATTGGGTAAGGGGGAACAAGAGTAGAAATAGAATCTGTTATAGAAGTTTAATCTAAAGATGAGGATAGATTGGACTACCCAATAATGCTGGAAGTGAACAGATGACTTGGAAATATTTTGGAGGAAAAATTGATTGATGCTAAGAAAGGGGAAATGAAGAAATTAAAGGGGATACATTTTTGGTTTTAGATTTTGTAGAGTTAAGAACTTTGGGACTGCTATAGTAAAAATGTGTTCAGTCTTTAGTGTGGGGCATGTTTTCAAATTAGAACTTTTGAAGTTTATAAAATTTCAACTTTTATGTATGATTTTTAAACACATTTGTATTTTCAAACATGGAAGCTGAAATCGAATTTATGCTTAATGTTGTACCTCCCCTTGCTTTTCTGAGCACTCAGTATTAAATTAGGGCCTCATACATGCTTGGCAAGTGCTCTACCACTAAGCTACACTTCCAACCCTACGGTAGTTTATTTTTCTTCTATCATTAGAAGTCTTTTGCAAGTCTTTTTTCCCCCCAGGTGTAGTAGCAGATTTTATAGTGCTGAGCCCCTTTCATTTGCATCTTTTCTATTTTTTCATAGAAATAAATTTTAAAAGGAAATGAGATGTCTAATTGATTAAAACCTGTTTATTTAAACTTCCTTTAATATCCATTTATAGGGATTGATTTTCTGATTATAAAGAAATTGTATCTAAGCCAAGCATGGTGGTACGTACCTGTAACTCCAGCACTCTGGGCAACTAAGGCAGGAGGATCACTAGTTTAAGCCCAGCCTGGGCAACTTAGTGAGGCACGGTCTCAAAATGAAAAATGAAAAGGGCTGGGGATATAGCTCCGAATGAAGGCCCTGGGTCAATTCCTAGTAACTAACACACACATACACATGCTTGCGCGCATGCATGGTCGCACTCACACAAAGGAATTTAGATCTAGTTCCAGAAGTATGTTTAATAGGCAAGTGTTCTATCACTTAGCTACCCTGTAGCCCTAATTATTATTATTTTGTACAGTGCTAGGAATTTTATAGTGCTAATTGTTTTTTTGGTACCGGGGATGGAACTCGGGACCTTCCACTTGCGAGGCGATGGCACCTCTGAGCTAAATCCCCGGCCCTGGCTAATTGTTTTTTAAAATAGAAAACTGTGTATCTTTTAAAAAAATTTTTTTTGGAAAATTTTATGTCTTTAAAAGTATAGTTTTTTTTTCAGTTGGATCTTGCTGTTATTTTGAATATGAAGCTTTTTTAACCTTATTGTGTCTCTCTGACTATTGTGCATCATATCCATCTAGTATTTCTTGACTTTAAGCTTCAGAGCCATTTCTTACTTTGTCTCCTTCAACTTTGTGACTTTATTCTCAACTGTTGTAGCTTCTGTTTCAGTGAGCGCTTCACTTTTAGAAGCCTTATCCAACAAAGAATAGAATTGTCCTGATTGATGATAATCAAAAAAAACCATGAAATAAAATACAATGTGAAAGTGGAGTTTGTGGTAAATAGAAGACTTACTGTAGAACATTTTCTTTTTTGTGTAATATGATCTGTTGCCCAAGCTTATTACTTATTCCTGGACCTTTTCTCTTTGGAAACAATTTTGAGGGTTAAGCTAGAACTATTTAAATAGTATTGGAGGCAAAAGTAATAAAACATATTGCTTTACTCTTCATAGTTTGCATTGATTATATAGCTTCGAAAAATCTATCCTTGTATATGTGACAGCTTTCTCTGCATTCCCATTTTCCAAAATACTTTTACTAGTGAGGTTGTGGATCAGAACTGAGCATATGGAATCACTCCTATTCCCAAATTGTCCCTAATGGTAGAATATCAATATTCCAGCATAAGATGGTGTGAGATTTTAGTTTATCTTCTCTTTAGTTTATAATATGGAAGAACTTGGCATGATTCCATTATTGTTTTCTATCTTTCAGGTTCAATCATGTATTTATATTGATTTATCTGATCCTTTTTAACTCTTAAGTAAACTTAAATTGTAATCTAAATGCCAAACTTATTTCATAAGAGTCATTAAGGCTAGGTACAAAAGTGAGGAAAGATTTGAATTACACTTGCAATTTTGTATTTCTGTATTATGCTGGCAGATATGCATTACTTCAAGAGCTGGTTCATTTTCTAAGTGAACAATCATTAAGTTTTCTCTCCAACATTAACTTTTTTTTTAAGTGGTAAAGGGGATCAAACCTAGGGCCTTACTTATGCTAGGCAAGCACTGTACCACTGAGCTGCATCCTTAGCACATTCTACCATTAACTTTATAAGCAGTTTTACAGACTTCTATTCTTAGATACCTTATTTGTTCAAATTGTAACTTTTGAAACATCCCATCCTCTGTAATTTTAGAGAACATTTATCATAAAATGTTGATCTTTCCAGAAGATTTGGCCATATTTTTCATTATTGTTTTATTATTTATTTATTTGCTTCTTAAGATGAAGCTTTAAAGGATGAAAGCCTTTGAGGATAGGGGTTTGATCTTATATAATTTTCATGCTTCTTTGCCTCTCTTTCTCCAGCTAGCACATATTAGATATTTCCTCAGCCTAGATAGAAAGTTGACATACATAATCTGTAGCCTTTTGAAGAAAATTGAATGTTTATTTCATGACATTCTAATAAGAATATAAAGTATCTTTAACTGTAATTGTCTCTTAGAGGAGAAAGTATCTGTGAATATCTCGAGATTTATTCAAGGAGAATTGTAGCTGTTAGTTTTGGTAGGTAAGAAAATCATTCTGCAAGTATCCCTCACTTGATGGATATTTGCTTGATAGAATTTTGCACTTAAAGAATTAGGTAGTAAACATATCATTTATAAATAGCTATAGTTTTACCACCTTTTTGCTTGATTTTTTTTGAGGGGGACTAATTGTGGTAGCTAATGCATTCAGGACAATGTTAAATTATAGAGAAAATAGTGGACATTTTTGCTGTGTTCCTTGAGAATGGTTCTAATAATTGGGGATTTTTCTGACTTTTGGGTTGAGGCACATATATTTTATTTTAATTTTCTAGTTATTCAGTTCTCTCTCTCTCTCTCTCTCTCTATATATATATATATATCACATATATGATGTTTCTCCATTCACTGTATATATATTTCTTCTTTATCTTTGTCTTTGTTACCTTTGTATTGGAGAACAAATCAGGGTCTTCTAATGCTAGGCGAGTTCCTTGTCACTGAGCTACATCGCCAGCCCTCTTTTCTTGTTTTTGTTATTTTTGAGATGTGCTCTTACTATGATTCCTAGCCTGGTCTCAACCTCTTGGGCTCAAGTGATACTTCTGAGTAGTGGGACTACTCAACCTTCCCAGTAGCTGGGACTAAGGTACCTGCCAGTACCTTAGTGTGCTCTTGAGATCCATCTAAGTTGTGCTTGTTCAGTGTGTCAGTAGTTTCTTGCTTCTTAGTGTGGAATAGTATTCCATGGTATTAATGTCCCCAGTTCATTCAACCATTCACCTGTTGAAGGACATTTGGATTGTTTCTACTTTTTGACAGTTACCAGATAAGGCTGCTGTGAATATTTCTGTACAAGTTTGTGTATGAACATGTTTTCATTTCTCTTACATATACCCAAGAGTACAAATGCTGGGGCATGGTATGTGCATGTTTAGTTTTCTAAGAAATTGCTAAACTTTTGCAGAGTATCATTTAACATTTCCACTGGGTAATGTGTGAGTAAGATGATTTCTCATCCTTGCCGTCATTTAATGTTACAACTTTTTTTTTTTTTTTTTTTTTTGCAGTACTAAGGTTGAACCCAGGAATGTTGTGCCATAAAGCTACATCCCTATCCCTTTTATTTTTAAATTTTGAGACAGGATCTTACTAAGTTGATAAGTTGTCCAGGCTAAGTTCAAGCTTGAGATCCTCTTACCTCAGCCTCCCAAGCCTCTGGAATTACAGGCAGCTATCACTGTAATTACAGGCAGCTATCACTGTAATAACTGAGTCCAGCTATTACTGTTTTTTTGTTTGTGTTTTTTGAGACAAGGTTTCACTATGTAGTTCAGGCTGGCCTTGAACTCACTATGTAGCCCGGCTGGTCTTGGTCTCATAGCAATCCTCCCTGGTGCTGGGATTACAAGCATGCACCAACCACGCCCAGCTCTATCATTATTTTAAAAATTTTGACTATTCTGGAAGATGTGTAGTGATATTACTGTGGATTTAATTTTCATTTTCCTGATGGCTAATGATTTTTCATTTATTTATTTGCCACCTATATATCCTTTTCAGTGAATGTTTATTCCTACAGAATTCCAGTCACTGTCTCTGCAATTCCTCCCCTTTTATTCCATTTTCTTTTTCTGTACTACTTTTCTAAATTTTTTTTCTCAGATTGGTATTATTTCAGTGGATTTGTTGTGGAGAAATAGTTTAACAGTTCTTATATGTGGTTTCAGTTACCTTTGATCAACCAGTCTGAAAATAATAAATGGAAAATTGCAGAAATAAACAATTCTTAAGTTTTAAATTGCATGCTGACCTGAGTTGTGTGATGAAATGTCAGGCCATGCCACCCTACCTGGGATGTGGGTCATTCCTTTGTCCAGCGTATCTATGGTCTATGTGGTACGTCTCCATTAGTCACTTAATAGCTTTTTCAGTTGTCAGATTGTTGAGTATCACAGTCTCTGTTCAAGTAACCCTTATTTTACTTAATAATGGCCTCAAAGTGCAAGAGTAGTGACCAAAAGGAGGCACCAGAGCATAAAACATGAAAGGACAGACTAGCACTGGTACTCTGTGGCAATGCTATAGGTCATATAGGAAAAATCATAGTGTGTATAGGGTTTGTGGATTAGTGGTTTTAGGCATCCACTTGTGTGAATGGGTGTCTTGGAATATATCCCCTGTGAATAAGGGGGAACCTCTTTATGGGGCCTTTATACTATTGTGGGCTCCTTGAGGGTTAAGTTAAGCACTGTGCTTAACTTCCTCCTTTTTTCCCTTGCTAAGGGCAATTTTTTTAAAAAAAAACCATTTAGGTAGTTGTACAGTACCATGTGGGAATCTGTTGCCAATTATTTGGTGTTTTCATTATCATAAAAATAGATCATCACGGGATAAAAATTGTTATCTATTACTGTGTAACAAATTGTCCAGCACTTAGTAGCCTAAAACAACAAATGTTTAATATGTTTCACAGTTCCTAAAGAGTAGGAACAGGTGGATAGCAGCATAGCTGGGTGGTTCTGGCTCAGAGTCATTTATTCTTATATAAATTGTAGTTAGTCTGTTGGCTAGGGCTGTATAGTCATTCCAAGGCTTAACTACATTTGCAGTTACAGCAGATAGCCATTGCAGAACCCTTTTTATTTTTGGTACCAGGGATTGAACTTGGAACCTTATGCTTGTGAGGCAGGTGGCAGCACCACTGAGCTAAATCCCTGGCCCAGAACCCTTTTCTTCTGTTACCCAGTCTTCAGCTCATTGCTCTCTTTTTGCCAGTACCAACACTTTCTCATTCTGTTCTCTTTCCTTGAGGTCTTTTTCTTTTCATCAGAGCATGTCTTCTAAGTCTATATTTAGGATTATTTTTCTTTGTGTAATCCCAGGAATTACAAATCATGCCAAAACCAGTTGTTTTGCCACCTCCAAAATGGGTTCTGAATTCAAATAAAAAGATAACATCTGGTATAATCTTACACATTTTGGGTAAGTTTACTTGAATCTAATTTTTAAGTGGATACACACACACACACACACACAGATACAGTTGTTGGTAGACTTCAGTTCTTGGCTGGATGTCTTCCAAAGACCTTTGTTCCTTACCATACGGGCCTTTCCATGGATTTCTCTGCTGTCATGTCATGGCAGCTGGCTTCTCTCACAGTGGATAAGGCAAGAAAGAGAAAGAAAATGAAAAGTAGAGGCCTCAAATGGAAGCTTCATTCTTTTATAACTTTATCTAAGAGCAACTTACTTTCAGTTCTGCCATATATTATTGGTCACAGAGACTAACATTGGTGAGAGAGGACTACAAAATATCAGAGTAAGGGGCCAGGGATTTAGCTCAGTGGTTTCGCTGCCTGCTGCGCAAGTGCAAGGACCCGAGTTCGATCCCCGGTACCAAAAAAAAAATTAAAAAATAAAAAATTATAAAATATCAGAGTAAGGAATCATCAGTGACCCCCTTGCACATTGACATCCCAAAGTGAAGAACCAATTTTCACACTTATATTCTTTTTTTTTTTGGTATCGAGGATTGAACTTGGGACCTTGTGCTTGCGAGGCAGGTGCCGGAACCACTGAGCTAAATCCCTGGCCCCTCACACTTATATTCTTAATTTATGTCCAGAAACAATGTATTTTTATTTAAAATTTTGAGTAGTATGTATATATTCTGCCATGTTTTATGGAGGAATAAATATTTTGTTATATTTACATTTGAGAGATAACCATGACAAGTTTGTGATTAGGATTATTTTTTTGAGTTTCTTTTAATTCTTTCAGTAGCTTTTGATGTCTTACTAATTAATGCATGGCCTAAAGAATTATTTTCACGCAAGTGCAAGGACCCGAGTTCGATCCTCAGTACCAGAAAAAAAAAAAAAGGAATTAGTTTCACAAAATTTTTAGAGAAAGATATTCAGCTGAATTTTCTTGTGAAGTATTTATTTGAAGGTAAGGTTTGTTTTGTTTCTTCCCCGAGACAACTTTTTTTATTGAATAGAGAAGATCCTTCCAATGTTAAATAGTAGGGAAAGAATAGCAACGTATATTTGTATAATGCTGTTATATTTGTAAAAGGAAAACGTGCTTTCCCTTCATGCATGGAAGTAGATAAGAAAAATTTTTGGAGTTGATACTTAGCCGGGATTCTATAATAGTTCTTAATTTTTTAGGAGGTTCATAGATCCCCTCCCCCTTTGAGATTCATGAAAGGAATGGTTTCTGTAGAGAAATGTGATCATGCACACAAAGACAGTTTTACAATTCAGGAGGCCCTCTAGAAATTCCATGGACCTTAGGGTGAGAACTTCTTTTAAAGCTCAGACTTCCGATATTCTCTGATGGAAAGCAGTGCTTTTTAAATTTAAACAGTATACCTAACTCTAAGTGGAAATATATATTTATTTTCATGTTATATGGTTTCTAATTAACTTATCCTAATGATGGTTTTTGTTTCTGAATTTTGCTTCTATTTTAGCATCTGGAGCATAAGAACAGTGCTTATTTTCTTCTTTTCCAAGAGAACGGAAAGAAATAGTAAGTTTAAGTTCCAAGTTTTTATAATGTATTGTAAAATAATTTAAGTGTGTGTTTTATAAGGCAGGCTCTGAAGTGGTATATTGGAATGACAATGTACTAAATATTGAAGCAATGTTCACTATGCCTGTAATAAAAAATATAAAAGAAAAGGAAATTTTGTTACTTATATACATCAGCTATATTATATATTTTGTATATGACCCAAAGTAATTCTTCTTCACTCAGTGTAGCCCAGGCAAGCCAGGAGTGTTCAGCCCACAGACTGCAGTTTGGAGATGCCTCTGAAAGCATAAGAAAGGTTATGATTGATTAAAATAGTTCTACTTTTAATTCATGTTTTTTCTGTCTTGTTAATTTTGTTTTTTTTAACTAGAAAAGTTTTTAAAAATTAAGTTATTTTTATTTTATTTTATTTTTTGCAGTACTGGGGATAAATTCAGACAAGTTTTGTTAGATTGATCTTTGTAGAAAACATATTCTACAGAGTAAAATACAGTATACTTCCATTGACCTGTTCTATTAATTTTACCAGTCTCTTGAATCTCACAGCCCCCTTGGCTTTTGTTTCAACTGAAATACGCAAATTATGACAAAGTTTGCTTAGGAATATGTCCTATGTATATATAAGTTTTAAATATTTTTCAGTGTTGAAAATAGGTATTATAATTAACCAGACATATACATGTTTTATTTTAAATGAGCTTCCTATATGATTTGCTTTAATTTTTCAAAAAATTATACAAAAATAGACTAAATTGTATGAGTCCACAAAAATCTATCACCCAATCTAAACAGTTATTAACTCATAGTCACATTTGTTTCATTTTTATCTCCCTCTACTTCCTCACTACCTGCATTATTTTGTATCCCAGATAAGTCTATCCACAACAGACTGTTTAAAAATATATAACATAATGCATTATCATACTTAGAAAAGAATTCTTAATATAATAAAATATCAAATGTTAAATTTCCTATTGCTAAATGTCATTTGCTTAAAAAATGTTTCTTTAATTCAGGATTCAAATAAAGTTTGTACAAATATATGACTTTCACTGTCTTCCTCCCTCATGACCTTTCTCTAGCCTCTTTAGGGTCAATGGTATAGCCCAAATAGCCCAAATAGCCATTTCTTTGCACATACCCCTGACTCTTTTACCCTGTTTTCCCGTCCTATGTATCTGACCAACCCTAACCTATGTAAATATAACTATATGCTTAACCCATGGCTAGCAAATGCTATTTAAATACATTCAAATGTTTAATCTTATCAGAGCAGCTAAACTGGTTGAGAAAAATCATACAACATACTGCCTAAACTTTTAAATCTGATTGCAAATATCAAATGTGCATTCAGCTCTTTTATGGTCCTATTATAATTTCCTAATCAATTTTCTTGTTTTTTTTTGGTACTGGGGTTTGAACTCAGGACCTTGTGCTTGTAAGGCAGGCCCGGCACCACTGAGCTAAATCCCTGGCCACTTCCTCTTTCTTTTTTCTTTTTTTTTTTTTTCCTTTTTCTTTTTAAGACCATTATTTGGTACTGTATTTTCCCTTAAATCGTTAATACCTGTCTTCCCAGTGAAAACCAAAGCAAAACCAAACAACCACATAAAAAATTACAAATAAATCAATAACCTCCTACAAAATATAGCCACTCTTTAATTCATAGTCTTACTTTTTATAGAAAATAGATATAAATAGATGAGAGCTACCTTCAGTACCAAATGTTTGAAGTTAGCTTTGAAGTATGTTTTTGTTTTTCATGGTCTTTTGGAAGATGCCTTGATCCCACCTATAGCTAATCCTCATTTATGCTCTGGATTTTAGGCACCCTGGGCATCTGAAGAACTTTGTTTTTTCATTTATCTTCTCTTTTGCATCTGTTCCTATTGGACTGATGTATAATCTTGCCTCAATACAACCATGGGAAGGGGGTAGTGTACTATCCTGACCTCCTGTTCCTTTTATGCTATACTCCATTTCTCTTTCTTTTTCAAAGTAAAATTTCCTAAAAATTTGTCTATAGTTGGTATCTCTTTCCCCTCTACTTATTCTTTCTCAACCTACTTATTTAGGTTTTATATCTACCACTTTTTATTGCAGTGGCTTATTTCAAGGTCATTAATGATCTATTGATACATTATTTGTTCAAACCAGTTGTTTTCTTTTCTTTTCTTTTTTTTAATGGTACTGGGGTTCGAACTCAGGGCCTTGTGCTTGCAAGGCAGGCATATTGTTACTGAGCTAAATCCCTGTTCTCTTTTCTTAACCAATTTGATTTCTTAGTAGTGTTTGAATTAATTCACTTATCTACTCTTCCTTGAAATGTTTGTGTCTTTTAGCCTCTTTGACAACATTTCACTGTTTTAGTTTTATTTGTACCTCCTCTGTTATAATTCTGTCATTGGCTTTCTTCTTTTGATGATTTAGATTTGTGCTATTCAATAGAACGTTCTGTGATATGAAAGTAATCTACATTTACTGTCCAGTATGGTATCTGCTAGTCATTTGTGGCTGTGAGCACTTGAAATGTGGCTAATGCAGTTGAAGAACTGGATTTTAAATTTAATTCAGTTTATGGGCTGGGGATTTAGCTCAGTGGTTCCACCGCCTGCCTTGCAGGCACAAGGTCCCAAGTTCAATCCCCAGTGCCAAAAAAAAAAATTAATTAATTAATTAATTAAATTCAGTTTAAATTGCCCTATGTG